GGAAACATGAAGGAGAACTTGGTTCCAGCAGCGGTGGGAGAGTGCAGGGCTTTATTCTGCGTCTCACGGCACCTGCAGCCTGCCCTCTCCCTCCCTCCCACACCCTTCCCCAGGGAGAGGTCAGGGGGAAGCAGTAGGAGGCAAATGGTGCAAGCTTTCGGCCACAGGAAGGGGTTTGGGAAAGTGCGTTTGAAGACTGGCTGCCCCGGAAGAGTCAGCAATGACCCTTGAGAATGTCTTTTACACGTGGAGCTGAACCAGACTGAGCAGTTCTGGAGTCTGGTGCGCGCATCTGAGGAAGAGTCCTCTTCCTTCCCGTCTACACACAGCTGCTCAGAGCAGGCAGTCCAGGGAGAATCTGGGATGTGGCTGACTTTGTTCCCCCATGATCACCCTTCCTTGGAGGGCTTACTCACTTCACCCAGGTCTCTGATGTAAACTAAATGTAAAATCCTAAGGCTTTCCTCCCTGAACAGACCCCCTGTTGGCCAAGGGGATCCCAGAAAAAAGTTAAAAACCAAATTCCCGGCCACAATGGGAAGGGAGGTCGGACACGCTTTGTTACATGCCTTCCCTTTTGGAGTTTAGGCAGAACTGACCAGCATAAATGTTAAAATAGAGATCATAAGACTAACAAAACACACTCTTTGTGGCAATAAGGCACCAAATGATAAATAGGACCTGAGTCCATGCCAGGCAAAGATTAAGTCACACACCCCACGGGTCACTTTGACACAGTGGTTTGGTTAGCAGACTTCCTCAACTGAAAACATTCCTTTCTGCTGACTCAACATTTTTAGACAAAGTTTAATCTTTCAACCAATTGCAAATTAAAGACTCTGGACCCACCTATGACCAGTAAGCCCCTACTTTATGATATTCTGCCTTCTGGGGCCAAATCAATGTCTAATCTCCATGTACCGATTTATGACTTTTTCGTAACTTCTACTCCCCTGAGATATGTAAAACAGAGCTGTGACCTAACTGCCCTGAGACCACTTACTCAGGGCTTTTTCTGTTTGTGTCTCTCCCTGGGCTGCAGTTGCTCAGGCTGGGTCAGAATAAACCTCTTTCAAGTAGTTTATGGAGTTTGTTTTTTCCATTAACACTGAGTGGGCTGCTCTCCCCAGCAATGGAAATGCAGTGCCTTTTGTTAACAAGCAGGAAAACAGCGTGCAGCAAATGCTTTTCTCTTTCTAGCCTGATCTTTTATTTGCCATGGAATGTCACACTTTCTTGGGCACAAGGTGAATGTCAACTTTCACACTTGTCTGGGGGCCCTGCCCAGTGACTTAGAGGGCATACAGGCTACCAGCTGTTCCTATGCTGCACCCACCCTGAGACCTTGTGGGGCAAAGGCATAGTCAGTCTTCCTCCCACCACCCATTCCCTCACTGACCGTAGAGGACACTAGTGGTTCCTGGGTGGAGGTAGATACAGATGGAGAGCCCACGTGTGGCCCAGGACACCAACGGAAGGGGAGGATTGACCAGTCAAGAACCTGTCTTGGGCTGGGCGTGGTGGCTCACTCCTGTAACCCCAGCACTTTGGGAGGCCAAGACAGGTGAATCACCTGAGGTCAGGAGTTCAAGACCAGCCTGGCCAACATGGTGAAGCACTGTCTTTACTGAAAAATACAAAAATTAGCCGGGCCTGGTGGCAGGCGCCTATAATCCCAGCTACTCAGGAGGCTGAGGCAGGAGAATCGCTTGAATTTGGGAAGCAGAGGTTGCAATGAGCCGAGATTACACCACTGCACTCCAGCCTGGGTGAAAGAGTGGAACTCCGTCTCAATAATAATAATAATAATAATAATAAGAATAAGAACCTGTCTTGGGGAGGTAGGGAGGCAGTGGCAGGTGGGAGCACACATGAGCTAGAGTACAAACACTCACTTAAGCACCACTGTACAATCAGACCTCATGTATAGCACACAAATTCAAAGATAAATTAAAAATTTCAGCCGGGCGTAGTGGCTCATGCCTGTAATCCCAGCACTTTGGGAGGCCGAGGCAGGCGAATTACAAGGTGAGTAGTTCCAGACCAGCCTGGCCAATAAGGTGAAACCCCATCTCTATTAAAAATACAAAAATTAGCTGGGCGTGGTGGCTCGTGCCTGTAGTCCCAGCTACTTTGGAGGCTGAGGCAGAAGAATCTCTTGAACTCTGGAGGTGGAGGTTGCAATGAGCTGAGATCATGCCACTGCACTCCGCCTGGGCAACAGAGCAAGATTCCATCTCAAAAAGAAAAAAAAAAAGAAAGAAAAATTCACCAGGCTGGGCAACATAGGGAGATCCCATCTCTACAAAAAATAAAATAAAATAAAATAAAATTAGCCATGCATAGTGGCACGTGCCTGTAGCCCTAGGTACTCAGGGGGCTGAGGCAGGAGCATCCCTGGAGCCCTGGAATTCAAGGCTGCAGTGAGCTATGATCCCACTGCTGCACTCCAGCCTGGGTAACACAGTGAGATTCAGTTTCTAAACAAAACAACAAAGACTGCAGCCACGGAACACTGAGCCCCAAGTGAGTGCAGGGCCCCATGCCTCTGAGGGGCCGCATGCCTGGGAAGCCACCCTGCCCTCAACATTGGCAGCAGGAAGTACCATCCAATCCTGGATGGAGATTGGGTGAGTTCCCCAGGAGGGCCGGCAGTATTTACATGAATGACTGTTGATTTTCTCAGGAGGGTGGCACCATCAACTAATTAGGAATGCTGTCTACTTTGGCTCATTGTGTGTTCAAGGATAAAACGACAAATCAAAATAGTCTGGATGATTTCTAGAGCTTAGCTGCATTTCATTCCTCTTATCTCTGAGTTTTAACATAAGTCAGGGGCCTCCTCATGCAAGATTTATGCTGCTCACAGCTCCTCTCAATTTTTTCCTCCGATTTGTCTATCCATTTTCCCCAGTTTTCCCAGAGGACAGTGAAGCGGGGCTCTGACAGCCTGCTTCACCTAACAGCGACAATCAATCCTCCCGCAGGGTTTCCACTAAGCCTTGGCTGCTAAGTACTTTTATGCACCCGAGCAGACAGGCTGTGTCGGCAGGCAAAGCACATCGGCCAATTTCCCTTCATTTAACTGCGAGACAGGGGGAGGCTCCGCCGGCAGGCGACTCCTCAAGAAGCGCAAATCTCACCTTCCCCGACTCCTCTCACCGCTAATTAAAACTGCCCCCCTTGGGTGATGGCGCGCCCCTGTAGTTCCAGCTACTCTGGAGGCTGAGGCAGGAGAATCGCTTGAACCCGGGAGGCGGAGGTTGCAGTGAGCCGAGATTGTGCCACTGCACTCCAGCCTGAGTGACAAAGCGAGATTCCGTCTTAAAAACAAAACAACAACAGCCAACCAACCAAACAAAAAAACCCTGAGTGACTTGGTGGCTCACACCTGTAAACCCAGCACTTTGGGAGGCTAAGGTGGGTAGGTTACCTTAAGTCAGGAGTTCGAGACCAACCTGGCCAACATGGTGAAACTCTGTCTCTACTAAAAATACAAAAATTAGGTGGGCGTGTTGGCTGGCGCCTGTAATTCCAGCTACTCAGGAGGCCAAGGCAGGAGAATCACTTGAGCCCGGGAGGCGAAGGCTGCAGTGAGCCGAGTTCGGGCCATTGCACACCAGCCTGGGCAACAAGAATGAGACTCCTCTCAAACAAAACAAGACAAGAAAAACCTGCGTCCCTCCTCATGACTCTTCTCTTGGCATAGCACCTGCAAAATATCTTCCTTATTTTTTTGTTGTGTCCGTTAGAACGTAGGCTCCAGGCAGGCGCAGGTGCAGGACTCAGGGGATTCGGTGATCGCGACAGGAGTCCAAAGTCTGTGTGGGATCCAACCTGTCTTAGGAAAGACCTCTGTATCCTCCCCGGTTCCATAGCTGGGTGTATGAAATTAACTGCCAACGGGCAGATGAACAGAGGAATGGGAATGCACATTTATTAATCTTTAATATTATCTGCATGGGGTCATTGCAGGAAAAAAGCTGAAAACCCCCAAACCAGTGAGCTTCGAGAGCTTATAAAATAGGAGAACTGGAAGCGGGTGTAGGTCACTTAGGGGAGAGGAACTGATTTTTAGGAAAGATGAATAGGTCTTTACGAATTTCTGACAAAGTTTGTCTAGGTGTGGTGTGGACTTCTGCTGTGATAAGAGTCCATTTTCCCTGTGTGACAAAACTCCAGGGAGGGAATTTAGGACAAGCCGATTTCTTTTGGAGGCTCTGTCTTTAGACAGGTTAGAGGAGAAAGTCTCTCTGCATTTGCTGTTTTTCAAGTGCCTCTCGCTCAAAATAATCAATATACCAAAGCGGCACATTTTAGGATGGCATACTCTGGTTTCCTTCACTGTCTTTAAGTTTTTGATGTTTTGTTCATTATAAACTTTTTTTGCGTTCATTTAAAATTTTTAAGACACTGTATTAAAACATTATTTAAATTTTGTCCCCAAGCGAGTGCCTCGTTCTCTCGCCTCTAGCCCGGGTCTGGCAGGAGTTGATTTTCTCAGTGCCGAATTCCCGGAGCCCACAACAGTGCTCGTCACAAAATTAATACTCTTGGTTCTCCAAATAAAACATTCAGGCCGGGCGCGGTGGCTCACGTCTATAATCCCAGCACTTTGGGAGGCCAAGGAGGGTGGATCACGAGGTCAAGAGATCGAGACCATCCTGGTCAACATGGTGAAACCGTGTCTCTACTAAAAATAGAAAAAATCAGCTGGGCATGGTGGCGCGTGCCTGTAATCCCAGCTACTCGGGATGCTGAGGCAGGAGAATTACCTGAACCCAGGAGGCGGAGGTTGTAGTGAACCGAGATCGCGCCATTGCACTCCAGCCTGGGTAACAAGAGCGAAACTCCGTCTCTAAATAAATAAATAAATAAATAAATAAATAAATAAATAAAACATTCCGTAAGCGCCGCCCCCAATTTCTTCCTGAACTCCAGGAACCCCCCCAGCCAGGACACAGGATGTCAGCGGCAAACACCCCGAACCAACGGAGCCCAGGTTCCCTACCGCCCCGCCCTTGTCCACTGTAAGCCCAACTGTCTTTCCCCTTCCCCGTCGCCCCATGCTCCCCGAGGCCCCTTCCAGGGTGCTGGGCCTCGGCTAGAGCTCCAAACCAGGGTTCAAATGCCCTGGGGAGATGGCTGCGGGACACCTACGGAGGGCCCGGCAGGGAGCGTGAGACTGGAAGAGAGCCCAGGAGGGAAGGACAGCGACGCGCGGTTTTCGGGGAGGAGCAGCGTGGGACGCTGAAGGGGCGCTCGAGGAGTGGGAGGAAGTGAAGGAGTGGGAAGAGCATGGTGTTGGGGACGCACAGAAGGCAGTAGGTGGGGCAGGACGGAGGGCACTGCGTCGGGAGAAAGTGGAGGGGCGCCGCAGAGAGAGCCGCGAGGGTAGAGCCCGGGGCCGGGAGGGCGCGGCAGTGTGACTGGGGCTGTGGGGATGTGGGCGGGGAGCAGTGGGGGTGGGGGGGGGGAGGGGTGGGGAGTGCGGGGATGCGAGCGTGGGCCAGTGAAGGGAGACTGCAGGAGTGTGGGCGGGGTGCAGTGAGGGAGGCCGCGGGACTGTGGGCGAGGCGCATGGAGGGGGAGAGTTCGGGGATGCGAGCGGGGAGCCGTGGGGTAGAGTGAGGGGATGCGGGTAGGGCTCAGGGGGTAGAGAGAGCGGGGTTGAGGGCGGGGAGCAGTGAAGAAAGTGCAGGAGTGTAGGGGGGAGCAGTGAGGGGAGAGTGCGGGGGATGTGGGCGGGGCCCGTGGGGTAGAGCGGGGGGGGGGTGTAGGCGGGGTGCAGTTGGGGGAGGGTGCAGAGACCTGAGGGCTTCAGGTTGCCCGGCCGGCTCAGCTCCTAGAGGCAGGTGCTGCGCTGTCGCCCAGACAGCTGGGGTCTCGGGTGTCTGAGTGTCACACTGTCAGCGCGGACACCCCTGCTCCAGCCAGAGGCGAGGCTGGGACCGAGGTCTGGGTGCAGCTGGGGCAGATCTTGAGAGGTCCGGCGGTGCGGACAGAGTCCAGCCACCGCGGCGCTTGCCACCGCCCGCTGGTGATCATTTCTCCTGCAGGTGTCCTTGGGCCGCTGGTGGCCGCGCGCCCGCGCCATGGTTGACGTTCTGGGCGGGCGGCACCTGGTGACCTGTAAGGGCGCGGCGGTGGAGGCCGAGGTGGCGCTGCAGAACAAGGTGGTGGCGCTGTACTTCGCGGCGGCTCGGTGCGCGCCCAGCCGCGACTTCACGCCGCTGCTCTGCGACTTCTACACGGCGCTGGTGGCCGAGGCGCGGCGGCCCGCACCCTTCGAAGTGGTCTTCGTGTCTGCCGACGGCAGCGCCCGGGAGATGCTGGACTTCATGCGCGAGTTGCATGGCGCCTGGCTGGCGCTGCCCTTCCACGACCCCTACCGACAGTGAGTGGGGCCTTGAGGGCGGGGGCCGCCCGGCGCGTCGCCCCGGTGTCCCGCCAGGCCTCCCTCTATACACTTGGGAGCTCTTTATGATGCCCCACCTCCCCCTTATTCCTCCCACCTCCCAGTCTCTAGGTTCACATCCCGACTCTGGTAAATCACACAGTCTCAGTTTCTCTAAGCCTCTCTTAGAGATCAGGGAGGGTCGAGACCAAATTAGAAAACCCAGGGCATCAGCACCCCCAGGAGGCTCGTGGAGCATGGACGCGGGCCGTTTCTGCCTCGGGTCTGGAGCTCCGGGAATCTGCATTGCTAAGGAGCTCCCAGTGATGTTGATGCTGTGGGTTCCCGCGCTTGGCTCCGGGAACCACCTGCCCAGTCGGCCCTGGAATCCCAGCACCGCTGTATGGTCCTCCCAGTTAGTGGGCAGGAAGCACAGGGACACGATCCGGTGTCTGAATGCAGGGATAAAGGGTGACCCGCGAAGACATCAGCTCTGTGACAGGCACCCACAGAGCAGGCTGCGGCTGGTGTGCTTGGGGAGGGATGGGGTCCAGGGCTGACAGGAACCCAGGTGCTGGCCACCTTTGTGGTTTCATTTTTACTGACACTGATGGAATTTCATCACCAGAGAGACGTAAAACCCATTACTATAAACTTTATTACTCTAACTTTTGGAAAGGAGCCGGTAGGGATTGGCAGAGAAGGAGCCGACTGGGATTGATTGTTCTGTTTTTGGGGTTGACCTCCTGTGGTCTCCTATGTGGTAAGAGTCCAGACTTAGGTTTAAAGCAGGCCTCCTCAAGTGTGTTGTCCCGGCCACCTGCTTCTAAGTACCAGTGTGAATTTCTGCATTTTGCTTTACAGAGGCCAGCCTCACATTTCACGGGATTATCATTAAGTTGTGGGATTACCCCCTAAGCTAATTATCATGAGATGACATTCCTTCTGGAAAATGAAAACTGGAAGCCAACTTTGGAAAGTTTTGTAGTTGAGTAATTAACTGGAAGAAATCTGATTGTTCTCCCAAGCACGACTTTTGGTGATTTGCAGTGAAAGAGGAGGCCCAGGCAGGGTGCCACCCAGCCTTGGTGGGGGAGGGGGGTAGTGACCTGCTTCTGGGAACTTCACTCACACTGGGACTCTGAAAGTCCCATTGATAATGAATCTTAAAGACAGGTGGTTCACTTTGCAAAAGGATTTCTTATAGAATCACTTCCAGTGGTGCTTTTAAAAATAAGATTGGACTTGCTTAATACTCAAGTTATTTGTAAGCTTTTGAAAGAACACAGGGTTGAAATCGAGAGGCGATGGCAGTGTTATTATAATAATTGGGCACAGAGCTCTGGCCCAGCTCTGGGATTTACTTGCTAGGTGATGGTAGGCAAGGTATTTTATTGCTCAGCATATGATACATCACGTGGTTGTTGTCAGGGTTGAGCTGATCAGAAAAGAGCTCATATGTCCCCTGGTTATGTCCCAGTTCTCTAATCTATTGCTCCATTTTACAGATGTGCCATTGAGGCATAGAGTTGAGTTCTCCTGGCTCTGGACACCCTCTTTCTGCCTTGCCCTACTTGGTCTCTGAGGGGGCGGTGAGCCTTGGCCCCCAGGATCACACAGACTGGCCTGGGGAGGTCATTGCTTGGGGCCCTGCAGACCTCTCTTCTGTTTCTGATGCTCTGGCCATGCCTGTGAGCTCCAGTTTGAGGCAGTGAGCTGCCTGACGTGGGTCAGCAGTGCACTCCTATCTTCTCAGCCTGGCTGGCCTGGGAGAGAATTTTCTTTTTGTAAACTCAGCTGATTGTCTCTACCCCTTTCCACAAGGAACTTCCTTCACCCCGTGGTTGTCACGTGTAAGCTAGGAAGTGGGATGTTCTGTGGGAATTGTTGGAGCTACGTCCTAAATTCTGCTTATCCTATCCTGGATTTGTGAAATCAGATCATGAGCAAAATGGAAATAACCACAGCCAGGAAGAACCAAAAAATGTACAAAGCCTTCGTGGGCACTTGGCAAGTTGCTAATGTGTGCAGAACACAATACTTTCTGGTTGGTGCTGTGGAGAGGTGGAGCCCAGGATAGTGGCATTATGGGAGCTCCACTTGGCAGGTGTGGGGTAATGGGGCCTCGTGCTTTCATTCCTCAGAGGCCCGAGCTCATCACCCTCCCTCCACTAAATTTCTGGTAAATCAGCTGAGTCAAGGGAGAAGAAAAACAGCTGCTTCCAAAGAGATCACAGAGTGGCACCCTTGGGGGTTACTGTTGGCATGGCTGGAGGCAGAGGACGGCTGCAGATGTACCTGCAGGGAGAGGAGGCCTGGGGCCCTCCCTTGTCCTTCAAGCTGTGCAGAGCTGAGCTTTCCAGTGTACCCTGCACCATACGCTCAACACAGCAGTGTGGACTGCCTTCAGCCCCCAGAGAGGCAGCTATTTACTAACGCCCCTGAAACTAAAGAATTGGGTGTGTGGCCGCGGCTGGCAGTTCCCTAAGTGCCCAGTGCAGGTGGGCTGAGAGGAGGTGCCAAGCCTTAATGTGGGGACAGCTTTGGTGACACACACCAGCACGCTCTGGAGGTGTGTTTTCAGGGTGAGGTTCCATCCTGCCCTGTCTTCCTTCCCTGCATTAGTGGGTTTATGAGTAAAACTCATTACCTGTCCAGGAATGAAGTAACAAGTTCTTGATTCTCCAGCAGGAATTCCCATGACATGCTGCTCTTCACAAAAGACATGATCAGTGGTGATCTTATATGATTTTATTAATAGCTCTCATCCCTTCTTGGCCTCCAGAACTTCGGCAGACCCCAAAAAGCATTGGAGGAGGTTGTCCCCTCCTCCTGCCTGCTCAGCTCTTAACACTGCCTTCTGGCCATGGCTGGTGTTACAGTCCCTCAACTTCCAGGCCCGACAAGTTTAGATCTGATGGAAAAGGAAATCTGGCTAGGGCTTCGTTTCTTGCGTAGGGAATGGCTCAGTGGGAGAAGATCAGTGCTTGTGCCAATAATTCCTGACTTTACCTTTCCAGCCCTTGTCTCTCTCCAGCTCTGTGTTCCCACTGCTTCCTGGGTCCTCAGGGCTCAACATAACCACTGAATCCACTGATTTTGCAGCTCCCAGGTCCTTCCCTTTCTGATCATTGCTGTTTCCTTCACTCAGGTGCTGGAGCTTTAGAATATTCCCCTAAGTGTTCTGCAGGGCCTCGGTGTTCCCCTCTAATTGACTCTTGGTTCAAAGACCAATCTGGTTTAGTCATGCCTTGTACCAGCTCTCCGAGGGTTTCCTGAGTTTCCATTGCCCACAGGATGGAGCCAGACATGGCTGAGTGCCTGGCATCCTCGGGGAGTGTGTTTGGTGGGTGGTTGGAGCAAGTGAGCAAAAGACAGTGCTGCAGAGAGATTTGCTTGGCCGCAGCCTGCTCCTGGCTGAGATGACAGAGACTGGAGTCAGGAGTTGCCATGGCAACGCAGAAGCGTGGTTATGCCAGCAACAAGGATGTGGCTGTGTTAGCTGAAGGCAGGGACTAACGTTGGTTGCAACAGTGCTGAGGACAAGGAGGAACTGTGCTCTTGGATTTTTCCCAAATGCTTGAAGTCCTGAGTTATCACCATGATAACGTTCTCTCCTCCAAAAGCAAGTTATCTTCCCTATGGAAGCAGCTCAGGGCCCAGAGGGGATCGAGATGATTTTAGTGAAAAAGTGTGGTTCTTCCTCTCCTGTGCAGCTCCAAGGTTACATTTGTCCCCAGGCAGAGGCTGCCAGCATGGAGATTTGAGGTACTGAGTGTCTCTTTGAATATCAGTGAAATGACCACCTGGCCTCCTCATTCCTCAAAGCCCAGCCTGCCCTGCATCCCCCTGACTGTCAGAGCGTGATTTAATATTGCAAGTGATTAAAACAACAACGATGACAGCAACTCAAAGAGCTTAAACAGTGAAGTTTATGGGCTGGCTTTAATGAAACACCCATCAGCCAGGAGATGGTCTCAAGGGAAAGCTGCAGGCTGCTGAAGATTCAGCTTTGTGGCTTGCCTTCTGCATGTCATTCCCTTGCTCAGGCTGCCGGCAGTGGCTGCCTGGCAAATCCTGTGTCTCCTCATGGTGGCAGAATGGCTGCTGTATCTCAGACTGCACATTCCCATACCTTTCTCTTTCCCAGCACATAGCCAGCTGCTGCACCAAGCCTCATGGATTCTGATTCTGCTAGTTCTCCATTTCCGTATTAGTAGGTGTAGCCAGGGGCCACCAGATAGATATGCTGACTGAGCAGCTGGCCCAGGTGGAATTGTAGGTGGGTGTTTCCCACCCAGTAAGGACATCTGGTATTTATCAAGTACTTATTATGTGCCAAGACTCATTCTTCATTAAGCTGTTTATTTAATCCTGACAACTACAGGCGGTGGGTTCTGTTATTCCCCTGGTGTAGATGAGGAATCCAAGGTGCAGGGGGTTAACTAGCTTGCCCACGACACACAGCTAGTTCCTGCCAGAACTGGAGGAGACATGATTTCCCAAGGAGGGTCACAGATGCTGAGCAGCAAACCACAGGCCTGTAGTCCCCGTGCTGTCAGGGGCACCCTGCCCAGCCTCCCCTCCACCTGCTCTCTCCTCCCTCCTCCCAGTTGGTGCAGGGAATGCAGAAAGCCCTGGGAGACTGCTGCGGGGTCAGCCAACTTGAGCGAGCGTGAACCACCGGATCTCAGGCACCACCCCAGTGTCAGGGGCAGGGAGACTGCATTTCTGATGAGTTCCCCGGTGATGTTTCTGGGACATTGTTTCTCTCACACTGTTCCTGACAGTGCTGATCAAAGGCTGGTTCATGGACTCAGGTCAGATGGGAATCTGTTAGGAGTGCACGTGCTGCCTGAGCTGAGGGTGCAGGAATCTGTAGGTGAGATGCTGCTGCTGCTGGCATCCCAACCCCTTCATGGCCCACCAGCGGCCCTCCAGGAGTCCTCACGGGCCCCAGCCAGATGGTCTGCTTCCCTTTATGAAAGTGACGCATGCTGCCCTGCTCTGTCCCACTGCCCAAAGTACAGATGCCGAAATAACCCATTTGCCAAAACTTCTGGATAAAGAGCTTAAATCAGGCTGCTGGCCATTTTGCTGCAGTCTTTATGCATAGAGCTACTTGGTTGTTTCTCTTTTCTTCCTTTTTTTTTTTTTTTTGGAGATGAGTTTCACTCTTGTTGCCCAGGCTGGAGAGCAATGGCGCGGTCTCAACTCACTGCGACCTCTCCTTCCTGCGTTGAGGCGGTTCTCCTGCCTCAGCCTCCTGAGTAGCTGGGATTACAGGCTCCCACCATCACGCCCAGCTAATTTTTGTATTTTTAGTAGAGACAGGGTTTCACCATGTTGGCCAGGCTGGTCTCGAACTCCTGACCTCAGGTGATCCACCCATCTCAGCCTCCCAAAGTATCGGGGTTACAGGTGTGAGCCACCGCGCCCGGCCACACATTTTTGTTTTATGCCTCTGAAGCTCATTGCTTAGGCAGTCAGATTTTAGGCGTTGTGCAGGATTCTTAAGATTCGAGAGAGGGACATGTCTGCCGCATCTTTCAGGCCCACTGCCGTGGTTCATAGACCTTTGAAGGCTCTGCCCAGCTGAGCTCCACACGAGCCTCCCCTGTTCTGGGCACTCACGGCTGTTTGTGATAGAGTTGGTGTCCCCTAAACCTGCAGTTTGACACGAATTTGCATCTGCTTGGCGTTTGAGGTTTTACTTTGTCAGTTCGGCGAATGTAGTTTTGGCAGAGAGGTCTCCGCCTTGTCTTTTTTTTCGCTCTGCCTGATGGGTTTGAGAGAATAGTTGACATGTTTATTTTTCCCATCTTCCCTTTCCCTCCTCAGGTGAGTCATTGGACCCCATGGGGAGCAGGTCCATAGCTGCCTCGGTGTGCCCTGGTTCCTTGAAGAACAGGGCTGCCCTGGCAGGAGTCATATATTCCCAGAAAGGCCACAGCCCTCCCACCAGTGTCCCCTCAAGGAGGTTCAGTCCACACTGGATCTGTGCAATGACCAGACTTGCCTGATTTTAGGCATTCTTGTGCCTTCTCTCTTTTTCCTTGCTGAATCTCCGTAGATTATTTTTTTTAGAGATAGGGTCTTACACTGTTGCCCAGGCTGGAGTGCGGTCGTGTGATCACAGCTCCCTGCAACCTTGAACTCCTGGGTTCAAGTGGATCCTCTTGCCTCAGCCTCCCGAGTAGCTGGGACTGCAGGTGCATGCAACCACACCTAATTAATTTTTTAAATTTTTTGTGGAGACAGGGTCTTGTCATGTCACCCAGGTAGGTCTTGAACTCCTCGGCTCAAGTGATCCTCTCATCTTGACCTCCCAAAGTGCTGGTTTTACAGGCTTGAGCCACTATGCCCAGGCTTGGTAGA